CGTCCGCTCGACCAGCTGAAAGCAGTACGGCCGATCAAAGAGCGAGTCGTGCACCATGAAGAGCGCCGAGTAGGCCAGGTGGACAATCGCCTTTGGTCGGGTGCGCTTCGGGTTCTCGTAAAAGTACAGCATGGACTCTTTCGAGTTGAGAACGCAGTACAGGTTTTTCCACTTTTTCGTCTTGTTGCCTGTCGGAAAAAAAACAATAGCCCGTGAATAATTTGTAAATCAGATATTCAATCAGCAAAAAACTTACTTTTCTTGAAGAGAAATCCCTTCATTTTAATCTCCTGGTTCTGACTCTGAGCAGCCATCTCCCGACACTCTCGAATACTGGCGTAGATATCCTCCGACTTGGCGCGAAGCTCTTCTGCCCGACTAGATGACCAGCGCGTCTCATAGGACGCCTTGATGACCGGCTTCAGCAGCCGGTGCCCCTCCACAATCTGCTCTTCCTTGTAGCGGTTGATGACCGCTTCGAGGCTGGCGAAGATTCGCCCGCCCATAACGTACTGCTCTCCGTGGCGCTCCACCCGAAAGCGCTGCACCGAGTTGTCCACGTGAAAGAAGATAGAGTAGTCGCCGGGAGAGTTGTCGCTGGGACGCACCAGAAAGGAGCCCGGCCCGGAGCGGGCCAACTTCTCGAAGGCCTCATCCTTGGAGATCTTTGAGTGGAACCAGCCATAGGCCTCATTCGGGTCGGTGTCATCGTCCACCTCCTCGACCAGGTCGGCGAAGACCAGGCCGGACTCGTTGTTGCGCACGTTGGTGCACCAGTACCACCGGTCGGACATTTCATTGTGCAGGACGAAGATGTCGCCCTTGCGGAAGCTGAGCTCGTCCGTCTCGGGCATCTTCGAGTAGGGCAGAATGGCCACCAGGCGGTGGCTTTCAGTGCGCACCGGCTCCGGCGGCGGCACCGGATTCGCCAGGCGTTCACTCTTTAGCAGGTCCGAGCAGGCGGTGTAGTAGCCGACCAGCTCCTCCAGACTGCCGAACTGCTTCCCTCCGCAGTAGTAGTCGCCGCAGATGGCGGTGATGCGAAAGTGATTGACGCCCGTACGGCCGAGGAAGGAGAGCACGTAGGAGCCCGGCTTGCGGTCTGACTCGCGAATGAGGTACGAGGAGAGGAGGCCGGTGCTGTGCAGCCGTGACTCGGACTCCTTTCGGTCGAGGCGGCCGTGGTACCACTGCGAGCGGGAGGGCGCAGACAGGGCCAGCTCCTCGGCGTTGGGCATCGGCCCGCCGGAATTGCTGCCGCCGTTCAGGCTGAGCTGTCCCAGGTCGGCCAGCGGAAACTGGCTGGAGCTGCTGGAGTTGAAGCTGAAGCCGGGCACCGAGGTGGAGGCGGCCAGCGAGGCGGCGGGACAGGGAGAGGCCAGGTTGTTGCCGCTACCGTTGGCGAACATGTCACTGAGAAAGGAGCTGAGCGCCTTGGACGTCCGCGCTGAGGAGGCTGAGAGCGCAGGAGGCGGCGGCGGAAATGCTGCCGATGAGGCGAACTGAGGTGGCGGAGTGATGGCGGTGATGGAGTTCACTGATGACTGCGGTTTGATGTAGTTGTGATTGGGACTGTCGTCGAGGTTGCAGTGAATGAATGGCTGCTGCTGATTGTGGTGATGGTTGTTGTTGAATCCAAAGTTGTTGTTGTTGTTGTGAAGGCAGGAGGAGACTGAAGCAGGTGGAGGTGGTGGCGGAGGTGGAAGACGAGTCTGCCCTGCCGAGCCACGATGTGGCTTCGAGGCGGCAGCAATATCCATGATTGGTAGCTGCTTGGTGATCAGCGAGAGGGTGAGAGAAAGAATGAGAGAGAGAGAAATAGTGATCTGTTCACTCAGCAGAGAGAGTGCTTTTCATAGTAGTCATAGTCTAGTGGAGGAAGGCAGAAAAAAAACGGAAGACGGTGATTAGTGGATGGGTGTACTGGAAACTAAGCACTAAACAAAATGTAATGTACACAGTAGCAAACAGTTAAGTGGAAAACGATGAGCGGCGAGTCAACCGCCAGCCGTCATCAGCGTCGGCTGGCACCAGCGTCTGAATCCATCACACACACAGACAGAGACACAGAGAGACACCAGAACGGGCACTCACTGCTGCTTCGCTCACACTTTGCTATATTTAGTTAGTTAGTTAGCCCAAAGTGCCAAAGACACTTCAGGCGGTGATCTCTCTTCGCAGCCTCTGCTCAGCCCCTCTTCTTAGATGCTGCTCTGGGCGCGATCACACACTTTCAATTGATGACTGATCGACTCCGAGGCGCAGGGCTTCCCAGGGTTTCCGGCACTGCTAAAGCCGAAATTGAGAGAGGAGGAAGGCGGTAATTAAGTAATCGATGTTTGGTGTAGGACTGCCGACTAACACTGAAAAACACAACACTAATGTACCGAAATACAAAAAGAAAGCCGTGTCTCTGAAAATGCCGAACAAGACTGGAAATGCTTGCCGCTAACTGGCAAAAGACAATTTGACTGTGTAATGGAGAGGCATCGGGTAATTCTCTCTTTCTCTCTCGGTAATCCTAGGCTGTCTGTGCCCTGCCCAGCGCCGCGTGCCGCCACTGTTGACACTGAGACAAATCGTCTTCGTTTTGGCGTTTTCGCTTTCTTTGCCGCCTGTTAAATTAGGTGCAACGACATTTGGGAGTAATGGTAATCGCAGTGGTGGTGGTTACTATTGCTCGCCCACTACCCAGAAAGCTGAATTAGCATAAAAATGTCATAATTTTAAGGCAATTCTAGCGTCTAATCGTGTTATGTCAAGGAAAACTGTGCGATAACAGGGAGAATGCTTTGGATTGCGGTGCTGCACCGCCAGTGTATGTTGTGGTCGCGCAATTTTCAGGAGAGATAAGTGAGCTTTTACACAAACCTTTTCTTTGTGTTGTTCTTTTCGCTGTTCTTTTTGCTGTTGATGGCGTTTCACAACAATTTTCCACTGAATCCCGGTGACTCTGCGCTAAAACCTCCTTCTGCATCAGCAGCTGCTGTGCTACCAACTAAACACAACGACTTTAGTCACAGTTTGAGTTTCGTCTTCTCGATGCTAGCATAGTCACTCATAGTTTCATCCATACCAAAACAGGAGGATGTTCTTCTGCTAATGAGGATGTTTTGTTGTGATTGTGTGTCGTGGTGTAGGCTCAATTGGCGCGACCAATAAGTAGGCAGTTGCCGGGGTGATATATGCATGCAAAGTCAAGGTCTGAACAGTACTGTACGACAGTAATTTGAAGTGTGCCGGAGGCGACTAGGAGTGAGCGCCAGACAGTATTGGCGTTTCTCTCAATGAAACACTGGTCGATGGTGGTGATGGCAAACTGACGAGTTGATCACAACTACGACGAGGCCATCCAATTGCCTAATGGTGGTGGTGGTGGTGGTGATGGCTACGTCCGGTGATAGCAGACGCAAGCACTGGTGCACAGAGCGAGAGAGAGAAGATGCCAGTCAGATTGGCTGATTGCATGAATGAACTACCTGTACATTACTGCTGTTGGTAGTGGTAATGATGGTGTTGACTGCCGCTGCTTACAATGGAGATGGCTGGGAGGAGGGGGATGATGATGATTGTTTGCCAGAAATGATGGCCACAGCAGAAGTGGCGGCAGCAGCAGCCCACTCTGCGGAAGTGCCAGACACCAAACAACAGACAAACCGACGCTGCTCACTCGTCACCGGACTCCCGAGAGAATTTGTTTGCAGCAGCAGCAGCAGAGAAAGGAAGCACCCGTACCGAACAGCAAACACACTGTCGACAGGAACCGTCTGCTGCCGATGCAGTCGCCGAGTGCTAATATTCGCAGAGTGCCAGTGGGTGGGTACCACTGCCACAGCCAAACAGACAGACAGTCTCGGGAACAACAGAGCTGGGCCAGTGCTGCCAGCCACACAGTGGATCCTGGTTCGTCGTCGCGCATCCACCGTCGATGGTGAAAGAGGAAGAGAGAGAGAGATACAGTGCCGATGATGACAGAAGTGCAACCCAAACACTGTCAGATTGCTAGAGGTGCACATCATCGTAAAGAGAACGGCGACAGTGCGCCAGCCCCCGAACAGTGCCGTGGAGTGCACTACTACCCCAAAATGGGCATTCCGCAGAAAGGGCAGAGCACACGATGGGCAGCATCACTTGGGGACACCAGTGCAGCAGCAGCATAAAACTTGGTCGTACTGTACGGCTACCGTTCACGCCCCTTTTAATATATCGGGAAAGGATGTCGGTCAAAGTATTGCAAGATTTTGACCCCTCNCGTCGCGCATCCACCGTCGATGGTGAAAGAGGAAGAGAGAGAGAGAGAGAGAGATACAGTGCCGATGATGACAGAAGTGCAACCCAAACACTGTCAGACTGCTAGAGGTGCACATCATCGTAAAGAGAACGGCGACAGTGCACCAGCCCCCGAACAGTGCCGTGGAGTGCACTACTACCCTATAATGGGCATTCCGCAGAAAGGGCAGAGCACACGATGGGCAGCATCACTTGGGGACACCAGTGCAGCAGCAGCATAAAACTTGGTCGTACTGTACGACTACCGTTCACGCCCCTTTTAATATATCGGGATAGGATGTCGGTCAAAGTATTGCAAGATTTTGACCCCTNGCCAGCCCCCGAACAGTGCCGTGGAGTGCACTACTACCCCAAAATGGGCATTCCGCAGAAAGGGCAGAGCACACGATGGGCAGCATCACTTGGGGACACCAGTGCAGCAGCAGCATAAAACTTGGTCGTACTGTACGGCTACCGTTCACGCCCCTTTTAATATATCGGGAAAGGATGTCGGTCAAAGTATTGCAAGATTTTGACCCCTCCCCATATTGGGAAAGGCAAAAGTGCGACAGATTAGTCAAATACCGCACTGTTAAGCCAGCATCAATACTGTATCAGGTGTAGTGTGCAGATTATCAGCTGTATGCCACACTTTTTACGTTCTCAAGCCACTCTACACCACTAAACCAGAAACTGTAGATCTTAAAAACAAAAAAAAAGAAAATAAATCATCCTCTAGGCCAGGCTCGAACTGGCGGTCTCGGCATTGCTTATGCGTGTACTGCTCGTATAAGTACCGCGCGTTAACCAACTACGCCACTAGAGGAAAATACCTACAAACTGAGTGCACTATTGACTATTTTAAGGTTCCAGCAGTTGGACGATTTTCAGTTCGGCATTCAGGTGGGCCCGTACAGTTTCCTCCCCGAATCAAGCCAGGTTGCCAGACAGAGGTCAAGGCAGATGATCACTTGAAGAAATCCGACATTGTTTTCGCCGACTCTGCATTGATAACACTGTAACAACAACACAACAAAATACAACACACGCGTTCACCGCAGTGCACGAGCAGGCGAGTGCACTGTGCAGCTGCTGCTGCACAATTGTAAACACACGTGACCTTACCCGATTTCACCCCGAATCTCATTTTTGCCAACTTCTGTCATTGCAAGGTGAGTTTCTAACAAACAAAAAGCTTCTAGGCACTTACGAATTGGTTTTTTTGTCCAGCATCTTCAGACCATGTTTCTAGTGCGACTTCTTTTTGCCTCCAGTTCGAAGCGTTTCATCTGGCCCCGGCACATTCGCTCTCTCTTCGGCTCATCAATGGTGGCATCTCCTGCTCGTAGTTCCCACAATTCTTCCCAATGTCTTTTTCATCGTCATTCACTCCTTCAGTGCCACAAA